ATAGTTAATTAAAATATGAAATATGGTGAAATAACCGTCTCCCTTGACAGAATTGACAGCTTAAAGTAAATTTAACAACATAAATAATGCTAAGAACCATCTTACCTTAAGCTGCTTGGCAACATCTTTAGCTGAGGACCCTGAAACTTCAATCCATGTCTTCGAGAACAGTGCACAAGCAGAAAGCATGAATACTATGTAGAAAAGAGCATGGAATGGATGAGTCAACATGTCTGCCAGGCTGCAACAAGCAAACAATGTTGCAAATGTAAATAATCACACACGGGGTATACAATATCAAAGAAATATGGCATTTTGTCCAAACAAGAATGCATATAAGAAGAGATTGTGTTAATTTTTCCATCTAATCACCTTGATGGCGCAGTAACATAATAAGCAAGTCCACCAACAGGAACAGACTGGCCTGAGTATTCAGATTCCTTCCATATGCCCAACAAATTGACGAAGAAGTTTCCACTGTACTTCCGGTACAGTAACTGCACATGAAGACCTATTAGATTTGCTAAAACGTTTAACATTTCTATTTCACAGAAGAACAATAACTTTAGGCACCTGAGAAATGAAGTACAGGTTGGATACAAGAGCAGATTGAAGAATAATAGGCATGTTGGAGGTATAGAATAGTTTTATCGGATAAGAGCCTTGTTGTCCACGGGCATTCTTTGATCTGACAGGAAGAACAACACGGAAACCTTGGAAATAGATAACAATGAGGAAGATCAACACTGTGGCAAGCAGATTGGTAACGTTGGGAAGATTTTGCCGGTAGAAAGCCTCTCTAAGAGCTCGTACTTTGTCTGTTCTAGCTATCAGAAGATGGAACAAAGCAATAATAGCACCTTCAAATTCAGCTCCACGGCCAGTATTAATGGTTGTGGGACTGAATGCTTTCCAGATAATATTTTCACTGAGACATAATGAAACTTGTAAGTGTCAATACATACAAGGAAAAAGCCTGTAACTAAAATCTTGAGAGAAAAGTTGAAATTTTACCAGATATTGGTAGCTATAAATAGGGAAATCCCAGAACCAAGACCATATCCTTTCTGGAGGAGTTCATCTAAACAGATGACGATAATACCAGCAAAGCAAAGTTGAATAATGATAAGAATAGCATTCCCAACACCCAATTGACCAACACTTCCATACATCCCTGATAGGACATAAGCAACTGCCTCCCCAATAGCAATCAGGATACCTAACAACTTTTGAGCACCATTTCTGCAAAATAAAATTGTAATTAGAAGAATCCTAGAAGATAGAAATTAAAATCGTTCAAAGACAAATGCATCTCCATAGCTACATCACATAGAATCGGATAAAAAATGCCCATTCTGAAGTAAAGCTAATATAATTTTATGATCAATTTTCATACAACAGTAAAGAACTAAGAGAATCAAACTAACTCACAATAGTGCACGGTCCTCTCTGACATTGTTGTCCACTTCAATGATTTTTGAACCAGCCAATAGTTGCATCACCAACCCAGAAGTCACAATTGGTGTGATTCCCAACTCCATGACCGTACCACGGTTTGAGGCAAGAATAACACGCATCCAATAAAATGGATCAGCACCAGTTGTAGAGTGTATGCCATAAAGAGGAAGCTGACTGCAGACCAGGAAGATGAAAAGAGAGATCACAGTGTATATGACCTTCTCTCTGAAGGGAATCTTTCTGTCAGCACTCTGAACTTCTGGCAGAAATGAGAGAAATGGTTTGACAAGATGCAGCACTCTGAACCCTCCACCCATTTTCACAAAACTGCACAAGAAAAACATTTAGACCATCAGCAATAAAATAGGGACATAAACAGTTAAACAGCAAAGAGCTGTAACACATTTCAAAGGGAAATGAAGAATAAATTAATCTATAAACAGTTCACAGAATAAAATTCATGCAGTAAGATCAATCCATGCATGCATAGTCGCATAGAAATTATTCAACTTATTATTATAACAAATTTCTCAACAGCAATCAACAAAGAAAAATGGTCAAATTATGTAATCATTAATCAAACCCACTCCCCTCTAGAACAAAGTAAAATTCATCAGACACATACATTATAGTCTCCTTTCTTCATCACCAATAGATAATGGCCAAAAGAAATCCATTCATTAAGTGAATATACAAATAGCCTACTTCATAATTGACCAAACTAACATTAAGAGGCTAAAAACATTCCAAATCATCTAAAAAAACAAATTTTCAACATATATTCGACTAAGAAACATATAACAAATAATGCACCATGTAATCTATTTGCAAGAGTTAAGTTTGTGTAGAAACAAAACATATCTCCCTGACCTCTCGGAAAGTGAATATCAATTGGGAATCAAGCATCTAAAGCTCAATTGAGCTTCACACATACTGACATCTTCATTTCCAGCAAAACTAAATTATGCAAATAAATAAGTAAAAAATTCCAAAATATTCTGGAGGTTCTAAATACTTAAGACTGCCAGAGTTAGGCAACTAAGAGTCAACGATTCTGAATTATGATACATCATCACAAATTCAACCACTAAACAAATCTCGACAGCAGATCAGCGCGGCAAAGAATACATTTTCAATTTTCACCAACAAACTTCCGATCTAAGATCAATTGATCTCAAATTTCAGCTACGCCAAATCACCAATAACCTCAAAATTCACAATCATAAAAACAACGATTCAATAAAAATAAGAATCCACCGATTCGTATGAGTGGCAGATACATAGATCAGCTCAGATCAACCACTACATCTCGATTCGGAACCGCATACACATGAAATGAATACGGATTAAGGATATGGGATACGCCAGAAGACTTACGGTAGAAACGCAGATCCGCAGGAGGATGGCAAGAAAGGCTTTCACCTAGTCTCTCTCTCTCTCTCTCTCTCTGCTATTTCTAGGGTTTTGGTGTGAGAGAGAAAGGTGAAACAATTTGATTGTGAGTACCGAGCCGTAGAAGGAAAGGTTCAACACGGAATAATATCTCTCTGAGTGAGAAACGAAGTTGACGTGGCAGGGACGCTTTCGTGGTGACACGAGGTTGAACCAATAGGATTCTGCCATGTGGTATTTTAGTTTCAAAATTTTGGATAAAAGAAAGGTGGCACTTCGCTTTGGCAACACCCGGCTTTTGGATGTACAATAGTCACGATTCATATTTTACTTACTTTTAAAAATATATATATATTGAAGATATTTTCTATTTTATTCCTCATATAAATAATTTATTAATAAAATTTTAGTTCCAAAAATTTTGACAATAAATTTGGATCCAGTTATGAAAGAGACATTTTAATTTTTTTTAATGGAGCATGAATTTTATATATATATATATATATATATATATATATATATATATATATATTTATATTTATATTTATTTATTTATTTATTTATTTATTTATTTATTTTTGAGGAGGCATGATTTTAATCATGCCCCTGAACAAAATTAAATTGGACAATCAAATCAAAATAAGTTCATAAATTTTGTTTTGCTAGCAATCGCAAGATAAGAACATGTAAGCTAATTAAAATACATTCAATAATTTACCTCATTCACTAATCTCTAAAGCAGGAGCGATACTCTTAAGTTTGGGATTTGAACTTATGTTATTTCAATCATTCAATGGTACAATCAGCCATTGGTAAATACAACACAAACATGAGCCACGAATACATCAAATGCAATGTAGGTAATTTCTTCCACCAATGCTACAATAACCGGATGGATCATCTAATCTCAACAATCTACCGATTATGCAACAGTAACTGACATGTTAGAATCACAATGCAAGCCGCAAAACTATAAGGGGGAATTTGGTTCAGGTTATATAAGATAACTAATGTTATATTTGCTTGGTATTATAAGATTCACATGTTTGATTCAGGTTATATAACTTTTTCATGGAATGTCAGATAACTTCGGCATTAAATTTTTAGCTATTGAAAGGGAATGTTAGATTTACATTACCTGGATTTTGTATTTTTTAATCAATTTATGTTATTACCATTGTCTTATTTACATATCTTAATTTTAAATCATACACAGGAATCTAACATTCCAGTAATCTAACATTCCCAACAATCTAACATTCCCTAAAGTAATCTAACATTCCATGAATCAAACACCCCCTAAAGAGAAATCAAAACACTGGTACAATAATGTCACAGGATAACACTTTATGGTAACTAACAGTTTTGTCAATTGGGGCTCTTCCTGCTTGGAATTAGGATCAGCATTTGCAAGTTGCTTATTAACTCTTCTGTTACCTCACACTAAGGTACGTAACAAGTAATAGTCTGAAATGCAAACCACTTACAAAATCAAACATTTTTGTTTTTCTTCTACCCAGCAAAGTTGTGTATTCAGTGAACAACAACAACAGTCTTCGCTTAAGCTACGGTGGAAAAACAAGAGAACGAAGGAAAAGCTGTCTCCCAGTTTCTCTGCTATTACAATAACCTTTGATCCACAACTACTAAAATAACTTTTAATATTTTAACCAAGTAACAACATTATCCAAATTAAAACATTTATAAAATTGGGTACTTGAACAATATATAAATATAGATTTTAATAAATACTATTACCATTTACAATTGATTTATGCATTTTCGAGAGTGATTCTGAAATTCGTAGACCGTCCAATAGTAGAGCTAAAAATCCTATGATAGCACTGTTTGAAAGTGGAGAAAGCCACCAAGCACGAAGCCAAGATGAATTCAAAAGCAGCTCTGTTCACTGTTACTATGGCGTTAAATATGTACAAAGGTAAAGATGCAATCTCTATCTGCAATAACACTACTGGAATTACCTAAATCTTTGCACTACTAAACCTCCAAAAACATTTTAAAATGTTTCCATCATATCAACACGGCTAAGGGTCTTCTCACCCAAACTCTATTTCCATTGCCAGATCTCTTCACAAATATAAAATTTTGTGCTCTCAAAGAAGGCCTTAATGGTTCATATATATGTGCCCAGCAACGGCAGAATCGCATAAAGTGTCAAATTATCACTATATCATAATCGTTTCAGGCAGGCAATTGAAGCTTCGCATTGTTTTTCCAACTGCAAAAATAATAATAATAATAATAATAATAATAATAATAATAATAATAATAATAATAATAATAATAATAATAAAATCTCAGGCTTAGTTTCATATGAAAATATTAAAAAGGAAAAAATAAGAAAAGAGGGAGAAAATGCAAAGAAATTTGGCACACTATACCTTATAAAGTAGTAGTAGAAAAAATCTGCATATAGAGCAGTTTGGACAAGTCCAGAGATGCAAGCTTGAGAGGGGAAAAAGGAAAAGTCAGAAAAATAATCATCTGTCAGGCAAAATTCATCCACCATACTATCAGAGGTATACTTACATATCCATCTGCTGAAATGGGGCTCTGTGAAATAACGGTAAATCCAGTTCAAGATGTAGAATGATCGATAAGCCCTACAATGGCATAAACAAATAATATTAACACCAATCAGTAACCACCTATGACCTAGCTTCCTTATGTTTTTTCAGTAAGAAAACAAGGCAAATTGCAAGGTAAAAGGCAAATTGCAAAGTGTGGCACAGCTAAGTAAAAACAAAGTACCCAAGAAAGAAAACATATTGTCCAGTCAGATTGTCCACATTTCCACTTCTTTGCAATAGAACCAACTGTGGAAGAATAGCAACTGCCTCCAGGTATATTGAAAAACTCCAAAATACCTACAAAAGAAACATATGGAAAATTTCAGTACACACTGTTGCATTCAAGAATGCAATGTACTGTGGACCTGCAGAAGTTCAGTAACATTAAAGAAACTGACCTCCAGGAAAGTGAACTTCTCATGAATCAAAAGAGCCAACACAAAACTAGCAGCGATAAGAATCCAGTGACGGAAAGTGTCTAGCTCTCGGTCATATGACCGCTTAACAGTTCTGTGAAACCTCATGCACCATACAATTGCCAAAGTGCTCACAATAAACACTATCTTCATAATGGTGTTATAGACAGATATAAATTCAGTGAACAAATCCAGATATCGTGCCAAAAACACAATTGTGTACAACTCTTGGGTCTTCAGAGAAATTCCTAGAAAGGATACACCAAACATTAAGTCATTGGAGCTCTACTTAGCCAACAAGCTCCTACTGTCTAGCAGGCAAATACCCAAGGAAATTGGTCCTAAACAAGAACCAAAACAGATTTTGAACTTACGAGGTATTATTCAAAAAAAAAAAAAACAGAAGTAAAGCGGTAATGATATAAGCACATGAGCAAACAGCTTCAAGCTCTTTCATCAGTAAACAAGCAATTCAATTATGACCATACACATAAAATGCTATCCAGCTACAAGTGTTGAGCTCAGCCATTATCTAACTAGCAACAGTCCCACCAGATTTTAGAACTTAAAAAGAAACATAACAGAAAAGGGTAATCACATTTTTAAAAGAAAAATCATGTTAAGTAAATTGAGCCAAAGTTATGGTCAAAATGTCAAATTAGGGTTACCAACCATGCCTGGCAAAATTATGAAATCTTATAGAAAAAGGAGAATCAGCTAGAATTGAATATGGCATTACTAAAAATAATCTTCAAAAGTACATAATTCACATCCTACAAATATATGCATTGTGCACTACGTGGAAGGATATATCAAATCAAAAACAAAATACCTTCAGTTAGTGAGTACTTGAGTGTCTAAAAAAATAATTTTGACAGCTAAGAACTGTTTTCTTAAGTGTATATGCACACTCTAACATATTCCTTTAGGCAATTGACAAAATTAATCACGAGAAAAAAACCCTGAAATTTGGCCAGCCAAGCTGGAAAGTTTGCTGGATCATTAGACTGTAAATCATCTATATAGCTAAATAACTGCTCATCCAAATGCATCAGAGACCTTCAAACATGTAAACTCAATATTTTCCATTAATCATTCAAACCACATCTGGAGTACTTCATCCATTGCCTCAACATAACTCAATTGAAAGTATAAGAGACCAATTTAAAAATTAATGATAATAATAATTAAATCATCTACACTACCATTTACACGCATTTGCCAACAGTCGTGCAAATAATCAATAAAACCAGCAAGAGCAAAGAGCACATAAAGTAGCAAATGCATACAGTGATACAGAGTACTATTCAACCTATGAAATCAGAATTTATAACATCAACACCAGTTTAACAAGACATCGTGCATACACATCAGAAATTCTATAACATTTTGTTAACTATATAATATACTCCGAATGTGGTAAGTATTTCGAGTTACCACCGCAAAATTAACGGAATAAACATCTAAAATTCTCAGTTTCAGATTCAATCAACCGGAAGACAAGATAGCGTTGGATAATACATAAATGAATGCGGTGGAAATGAGACCTGAGCATGATTTTGTGGCGTAAATTTTGAGTAGGAGGACGAGAATACTGATCAAATGCGTCATGTCGCCGGCGAGTCTGAAGATATTCATGGTTGCCGATGGTAAAGTACAGAGAATTCAGCCCTAGATTCTAGAGAGAGAAAGTTCTTAGAGTGAGAAAGCTTCGGCGCTACTGAGAGAGGAAATACGAAGCCGAAAGAAATGAAAGAAGACACTAGACACTATCTTTTTATCTTATTTACGGTTTTAGCGATCAATTTGATTAAATTTAGTAATTTACCATGATGTTTAATATTTCTTCCCAACGAGAATTTATTAAAATTGTTTATAATTTAATTTTTTTATAATATTAAATTTAATTTTAGTATATAAAAATATATATATTGAAAATTTATATTAACAATATTATTAAACACACACAAATTAATTAAAAGTAATAAAATAATAAATTTAAAAAATAGTTGGTTTCACTAATAAATTTGACATGTAGAATGGAATAGAGAAATATTTTTTTTAAGTAAAATATTAATTTGATCCTTATTTTATTTTTCTTTTGACAATTTTTTTCTTATTTTTATTATCATAATTGCAATAGTAAATTAATTTTGGGGAAAAGAAGTGGTGTACCCAAGTTTAAAAGGAAGATTATCCCAAAAAGGCAAAAATGGATAATAGAAGTGCGAGAACGCCTGTGTAATTTGAATATTAAAAAAAAAATATCGCAAAAGATGGATAATAGCAAGTGTGAAAATGTCTCAAAGTTACTTTAATAACAACACTAGATACTCAAATTTCAAATGAAGAGAAAATGGATGTGACCAAGCCGAGTTGATATATTGACTTAATAACCACAAGATTCCTAAATTGATTCTCTTAGTTTATCTCATTGATATCTAAGGCCACAAACGAGTTATACCCAAAGTGCATTTTCAGGTAGCGATTGTGTCCTTTCTCGTAAATTTAAAAAAAAAATGACATGAAATTTATTGAAAAATTGAGACGTGAATAACTAATGGAACATTATTTTGAATGTGTTTCACTGACGATTTTAGTTTGGACAAAGTGAATTTAAGTTCTCTATATGTGCATGTGATTTTTGTAGACTCATACACTTTGAATAATGAGTGAATATAAAATTAATTTTCAAAGCTCAAAATTTTGGTAGGCACACAAAACTCTTTATTCGTCCTCACATATGACACCAATGTTAGCTTCATGACTAGAAGAGTCAAAGTTGAAGCTCAAAGGAATTCAAAAAATAAGGTATTGTTATTGCTCTTAGTGAAAAAGGTTATGAACCCATTTCAACTCTTTTTTTTCAGCGCATTTATACAACTCAAACTATCAAATTACAAGTTAATACCCTATAACATTTGATCTCCAGTGACCTTATGGTCTAGTGGCATGAAATGATTTATTCAAATAAGAAATTATGAGTTTGAGTCTTAGTGGGGGGGGGGGGGGGGCTAGGGTCGAATTTTAGGGTGTGCAAAATGTCCTAGAGCACATGGCCCAGTATTTATTTTTTAACTCAAATCACTTCTACTCCTAATTAATTGAGCATACTGCATGGCAAAATCATTTGTTTCCTCAACGGCACAGATGATATCTCAAGCCATGAATTTACATAGATAACTTAAAACATGTACCATTCACCATTAATACTGCCTGAAATTGATTTTACCCCCTAACAAATCGTTCTACTTGCATTCCAAATAATAACGGCAGCCCAACAGGTAGCCACTAGCTAGGTAGTTTCAAAGTTTTTTTTTTTTTTTTTTTTTTTTTTTTTTTTTTTTTTTTTTTTTTTTCTTGTTTGTTTGGATTTTGGAGATAGTAATTTAGTAGAATTTGTATGATTTGGTTTTAAAGATTGTGCTTATACTTTTGGTATGACATCATTTATTTACAAGAACGGTGCAACAAAAATTCAAAAATCGATCTTGGTAGAGGCGATATTGACTCTTTGTGTTTCAGTCGGTTAAGAAAATAGTAATAAACAATACTATATTGTAGTAGAGTTAGTACTAAAAAAAAATTATCTCCAAATAAATAAGGAAAACGATCTCCTAAAACTATACCAACATCTTCTAGCATAGCTACTATACACTTCCCATAAATATTATAATGTATTCCCCAAGTTTCAGACCATATTGAACTTGGGTCCAGTTCGACTACCCTAGCTAAAGGTAAATTCCAGACCTTCTATATCCAAACCACTCATTTATTAGTAATTAATGTAATTTAATTGAAATAATTACAACAATAGACCAAACAACATAACATTTGGACCATTTAATTGTATAATTGTCAAACTCATTAATCTTGACTAGATTATACATAAGAGTTAATACCAGTCCTTCGAATTTTGTCACGTTTAGTCCTAAATTTTTAAATTACCACTCATGATCATTTGATTTTCAAATTGTTACCATCCGTAGTCTAAGTTAACCACCCATGATATGATCCTTCAATTTTTAAAATTTAACCAGTCGCGGTCCTCTTTGAAGGATCATGAGTGGTTAAAATTTTATAGTTGAATGACCATGAATTGTTAACTTAGACCATGAATGGTAACAATTTGAAAGTCGAAGGACTATGGGTGGTAATTTTAAAATTTAAGATTAAACGTGACAAAATCACTATACTCGGAGAACTCTAGATGATATTAACTCTTATACATAATCTAATTAATTTAACGAGTCTCAATATCCACAATATTTAATAGTTATTTTAATTTTTAAAGGTTAATTTACTTACTTATCAATATAATAGAATCACTCAACTAAAATTGATTTATAATTTATTGTTATTGTAATTTTTATTATATTAGAGTTGACATAGATAATTAATTTGTTAAGTTGTTATTTAATAATTTATAGATAATTACTACGTAATAAATTTCAAATAATTATATGTGAATTATAATAAGCAATTTTTTTTTTAGATAAGATTTATTAAAGATTAAACGAGACACTGGCATAACAGTTAATGACTAAAAGTAAAATGTACTCATTATAATATGTAAGGTTGAAAAATGACGGTACCACTTAAAGACTTGCTTCTCGACATAGTGGGGATTTGATTCCTACCAAGAACAATAAGGGTTTGACACTTTGACTTGATCGTGTACATAAATGTATAGTTTGATATTGAGTCTTAAAACTAGATTGACTCAATTTACCTTCTTATGAGCTTAAAACTAGTTCATAGGACACATGATATAAGGACACTCCCAATAGGGGATTTTGAGTGATTTTTGAGGAGATCTAAGTTTATGTGGAAGAGAGAGGGAGGAGAGAGAGTGATTTGAGGCTTCTTGCAAAGAGTTTGTTTTTATCAGAACTGTGGGCCCTACATGGTGAGAAAAAGAAACTGTTGGCGCGCGTTAATTGCACAAATACGAACACAGTCTAGCGCGTGCACTGCACATGCCAAATTGGCCGCGTAAAACTACCTTTTGTCATTTTTTTTTAAAATTTTTCAGCTAACGAATTTGTCAGTCTTATTTTTTGTTTTGTTTTTCTTTTTAAATTTCTTTTTCTCCTCTTTCTCCTCTTTCATACTTGACATATAGGCTATGTTTGACAATCCTAGCTGAAAGTTAAAACTATAAGCTAGCAGTTGAAAACTGAAGAGCTGTTAACCTAGCTGTTATGCTTGAAAATGTTTGGTAAAACTAGCTTTTGAATAAGCTGATAAAGTAAAAAGATAAAAAAGGACATCTTCATGAAATTTAAATTAGTTTGTGTTTTTTTTAAAGATTAAATTAGTTTGTTTACATATTAAACATTAACATTTTGGAATAAAATTATTAGCATAATCATGATTTAGCATTCCATAATAAAGTAGCAATATTGTTGCGAATCTCCTTCATCTAATAATAATAATAATAATAATAATAATAATAATAATAATAATAATAATTGTGGTAAAAGTTGCGAATAAAGAAGAAGAGAAAATGATTTTAATTGAGAATGGTTAAGGATATCATTTCTTTAAAATAATAAACACAAAGATGAAAAAAAATTAAGAAGCTACTGGCTTATTTGAAAACGCTACTTAATAGCGTTCTAAAATAAACTCTTATTTTAAACTACGCGTTTATTTTAAAAATATTACCAAACAAAACTTATAACTTATTAGTAGCTTAAAATAAACTATAAGCTACTCAATAAGCTTTCCAAACAGAGCCATAAAAACCTCATCTATAATAGAATAACATTTGTTGAAAGTTTCACCACGCAAAACAATACTTAATGCGTAAACAAGATCCGGACGTAGAGAAATTGAATGGTCCCAAATTTTGTACTAGGACACGTGTTGTCATCCCAGATAGCATTACACCGAAAGTCCACTGCAACTCCGAACCACCCAATCTTATCCTCTTTCAATCCAACCCGAAAATCGAGTACTAAAACATTTCATAGTTGAATCACAGTGGAGTAGTGGACTCTCCTAGTCTCCTTCATCTTCTCCACCTCTTCATCTCTCTCTCTCTCTCTCTCTACAAACGGACACTCTGTTTCACCGCGCGTCCATGGTAAATACCCAAAACTGACGGATACATACACCACATATATGTATATGTAGAGAGAGAGAGAAGAGGAGAGAGTACAGGTTATATATATACATATATGTGTGTGTGTATGTGTATAGCTGGGAATGAGATAGAGTCGCGAGCACGCAAAAGCTCTCAAAACAAGTACCGATAAATTCATTTCCTGTAATCTCTTTCTCTCTACTCTGTGTGTGTATATATATATATCTGCCGTGGATATATTTATATATATAGATTCCTGAATTAGCTAGCTACCCAAGATTCCCAGTGGCTGTGTAGCATGGGCTGCTCGGGATCTTCGCGTTCGAAAGGAGATGGTAATCTTTCTTTTTCTTTCTCCTCATTCATTTATCCAATTAGATATGGTGTATTGCTGTTTAAACCTGCATTTGTTTGCCCCTAAAAATCCATCTTTCTCACACACACACGCACTGTTTTGGATTGAATTGCTGTTTAATTTCTACTATAGTTTAGTGATTGATTGATTGATTGTTTAGTTCTTGGAGAATTAGGTATGAGTTAGGTAATTAGTTGTGTTTTCCCCCTTATCTGATGGGAAATTTATTGCTATTTAAATATTTGATGTCGCTGTTGTTTGTTGGTTGAGTTATGTTATGGTTGTGATGTTGACTTTGGAGAGAAATCTGGGGTTGGTATATGGTAATCAGATGAAACTGAATATTATTTATTGGATTATTGTAACTTTAATGAGTTTGCCATGTACACTGCAGACAGATGAGAAAGAATAAAAGCAACCTTCATCAAGTCACCAAGAAATTTCCAATGCTGCACTTTATTTAATATTATCTTTTGTATACTTGTGTGCAGAGACTGTTAAGAAGATACGGAAGCCAAAACCTTGGAAACATTCAGAAGCAATAACGAGGGCTCAACTTGTACAGATGCGTGATGAATTTTGGGACACGGCACCACACTATGGTGGTCGGAAAGGTATTATTTCCTCCATCTGGACAATGGGACTGCCAAAAGCGTGTTTCTTGAATTTCTTGGTGTTCCAAACAAAGATTGCAATCATTAGAATATTTTCTTTATCCTAAAATGGTAACAATTCTATATTCCTCATAAACTCTATGGTCTATCTTTAGAATGGCTTGATATTTTAGAGGGCCAGGGCACGGGAAGTTGTATGATAGACCACATTGAAATACATGTTCCCTTCTCGTGGGAGGATCTTGCTAGAATGGTATTCTATGGTTGGTTGGTTAGGTTAAAGGTTAATCTATCACTAATTATGAATGGGGAACCATGCATCTCTCTATCTTGAGCATGCATAACACTTAAGAGTTTGTTCATCCTATCTGGCTCTCCCACAGCCTAAGGTTATGCATAACACTTGAGGATTAGTAGAAAAATATATGATTAATTTGATAAAATATACAACTTACATTATGTACTTTGAGCAGTGGTGTGGGCGACCATTTCCTTTTCTCTCATTTCTGCATTGCCTAGTACTTTTTTTTTTATTTTTATTTTTTATTTTTAAGATAACAAGTAAAAATATATTAATCAACTGAAAACAAGTGTGAAATACCTCTTGGAATAGAAGATGACCACGTGTGATGATCAGAATGTAAATCCACAGCTCTAGCAAGTGTCGGTTACTTGCGTTCATTGCCTAGTACTTTGATCTCATTCTTGGATATTTCTCATATTGGGTCATATTTGAGTGATTACATTTCACATACATAGTAGAGGTTCTTAATGGTTTAAATGTTTAATGCTAATGGAAGCAGTATGAAAGGGTGTCTAGCCATGTATACCATTTGATATGAAAATTTTGAACTACAAAAATTTCAAGGATTTGTATGTTGATTGATTGTACTGGAATTGCTACCATACGACAGCATATTTGTGTTTTCAGATTGGATAGTAACATGGTGATGTTTCTTTGAATTCTCTAGTATGCAATCAAGGAAATCAATTGATTAATGGGTCATTAAATGAAACCAAAATTTCAGCCGTGTGTTATTTTTCTGGCAACTTCTGGTGTGAACTGAGGTTATGTTTTGAGGAACCTGCCTAGTTGAAAACCTATGCTTTAGTATGTCCATTATTGTAGTCTCATACATAACAATGCTTTTACATCTTTACCAGAGATCTGGGATGCACTTAGGGCTGCTGCTGAGGCTGACATATCCCTTGCCCAGGCTATTGTGGACAGTGCTGGTATTATTGTTCAAGCCTCTGATCTGACAATCTGCTATGACGAAAGAGGTTCATTAGTATCCTTTTATTCTTTACTCTTCCGTTTGAGTCTTCAATCTATCTTTTTTATGCATGTGTATGCAGAGACATATAAATCACCTCCCTCTCCTTGGACATTTCCATTGTTGCAGGTGCAAAGTATGAGTTACCAAAGTACGTTTTGAGTGAACCGACAAATTTGATGCGCGAGAGCTAAAGAAGAGAAGACTGGATGCATTTTGGAACGTAAATTTTGTAAAGTGATAATACGCCATTCTCTCTGTGATTTATTGTTTTCTGGGCAGTAATCCACCATTTAGTTTAGTAGTTGACATAAAGAACCCACATTTGGAATATAGCAATGCCACAGTTTTATGCAAATGCCTAAAAGCTGTATAATTTGTTGTAACCTAGCTATCTAGTGACCACTCATATCATGCTCAAACATAGAAAACATGGTCATTTGGAGTTTTTTGACTACTAATATCTAATAAAAATATTTAATGGAAATTCAATCATTGTGCAAATTCAATGGCTATGTTTGGCAAACATTTGGAGTTTTTTGACTACTAATATCTAATAAAAATATTTAATGGAAATTCAATCATTGTGCAAATTCAATGGCTATGTTTGGCAAACCTATCTAAAAAGGTAGCTGTATAATACTCAGAGACCAGACCATAAATATATTTATTCAGGACAGAGCTTCCCATGTGGCAGGTGCGGGGTGCGGATTGCATCATTAAATATGCATAAATACATTACACAGTGTTTGAAAAAAAAAATGCACCACACCTAATGGTGTATTTTCGAACATTTTGTGATGCATTTATGTCTACCTAATGATGCGTGATCGCACGAAAAGTATTGTCCGCACGAGAACCTGACCCGTCATGTATAAATATGATTTCTATTTATTTATTATTTATTTACTTATTTTAATTGAGAACGTATAAGTAAATTATGCAATTACATGGCTCAAATTACAACTTTATATAATACTAGTTCTTTTACGCGATTGGAATAATGCCCAATGATTATTTTTAAATAAGTATTTCAAAGTATATCAATGCAATATTATATCAGAGATGTTCATACATAGGTAAATAAATATTAAATTTGTTTATTTAAATCGATAATTTAAAGTATATAAATGCAATATAATATATGAGAGATTGATTATATTGTCACTAAAATAAATGTTTGGAACTTTGTAATAACGCTAGTCTAAAAATGATAGTCTAAATAAATATACTTTTGGTTTAAATTTCTCTAATTCTTCTCAATTCTCTTTTGGGTAGCATTGTCATTGTCTTCATCTTCAGTACATGTTCTAAATTAAGGCATTATAGACATCTAGTTCTAAATTAATTAAATGCATGTATTATTTTTTGTTGTAGCTACTAATTTATTTAATTGAATAAGAGTAATAAAGTAGCGTACATACTTTTCATCAACAATAATAAAATCATTGATTTTTTTTTTTTAATTTACATTCGTTGTTGAGACGAATTGTTTTGAGAGTTTGTCATGACGATTTTTACAATTCCTGTAAATAGAGGATGATAATAAATAATTCAAAATATATAGTTACAATAGATATTGTTATAATGATATAGTAAACATTAACTTACAAATTTCTTCATGATATTGTTATAATGATAAAATTCTGATGTGTAAACTTGTTCAATTAGAGCCAATGAGATGTCAACATTGTCAATTCTTTGGAAAATGGTCTCACCGTTTTAGATTCCAGGTGTAATTATATTTATAATCAACAACTTTGTAGTTAGGTTGCGCAGGTCTGACAATGATGTAAGAACAATTTTGTTCGATAAAAAAAAATAATAGTATAAAATTTGTAAAGTAATGTACAATTCTACTATTATAAAAATACATACAAAAAATATTAATAGCATAACGACCTAAATCATACCAATATTGCAAAAGTATAATTGAAATATTAAGTTTTATTATGATCTAAATAATCAAAAGAACATTAATTAAATGAAAAAAAATAAAACTTAACTTAATTTTTTTTAAATGCATAAAAATCAAATGATTTTTAAAGTTCTTGATTTATAATCTTTGATGCTTAACTTTGAATGTTATGTATTTAGTCGGATTATTTGACCAAAGTTTATGATAAATTTTATATTATATATATATATATATATATATATATATATATTAATACATTTTAAAATATTCGTAGTATATGTTTAACAATTATGCCAACTCTAATTGGGATGAGGTTCGAACCTAAGATCTTTCTTATATAAATTAATAAGTTAAAAATAATAAATAGTTAACGGAATATTCCGTCACTAAAGTTTATACTAACGGAATTTAGGTTATCTAAGGGAAGAAAATAATATAATAGAGGGTAAATAAGGAAAATCATTAAAAGAATACTAAAATCTAAATAATATGAACCATTCATTTTAAGAAAAAATAGGATCGACATTTTTTTTTTTATTCCAGTTAAGGGTCTAAAATTATTGGCTCTTATTAGAATTGTAGATTGTAGATGTAGATGCAGATATTATACATTATATTTTACCTGGACAAAATCATGACAATTTCGTTATAACATGTTACTCTTTTGTTAGGGTCTCTCTCTAGGGTTTCGCTAGGGTTTCGTTATAACTATTCTCTCTCTAGGGTTTCGCTAGGGTTTTCTCTTTTTCCTACTCTGATCGAGGTTTCCGGCGTCTTCTGGCTTCTTTCTACGGGACTGCACCGGCGTTCTACTGTCAGAAAGCATGGAGCAAGAGTCGGTAACGGAGGCGGTTAATGTTTTGGGTCGGCGTTGGGCTGATGTCGCCCTTGATGACGAGGAGGACGATGTTTTCATACCGCCGAGCGAGGGGGGTGACGAACAGCCTGCTGTGGCGGTTCGAACATGGTGGCTAGTAGGAAGATTCTTGACTACTAAGCTTGTGAAGGCGGAGTTTATGAGCCAGGTCATGGTTTCGGTATGGCAGCCGGTTAAGGGGGTACGAGTCTCAGAATTGCAACCGGAGCTTTTCCTGTTTGTGTTTTTCCATGAAACAGATATTCAATTGGTTCTTGAGGGAGGGCCATGGTCCTTTGAGAATCACACGTTTGTTTGCAAACAGGTCCAGGATGGGGTTATTCCGGTCACGGTACCGCTGAACACGGTTGATATGTGGATATAGGTGCATGACTTACCACTGGGCTATACCTCTGACCTTATTCTGGAGCAAGTTGGGAATTTTCTCGGAACCTTTATTAAAATTGATGATAGGTTTGCGAATGCACCATGGAAGACTTTCTACCGGATTAGGGTTTCAATCTCAGTCTTGAAACCGCTTAAACGGCGCATGAAACTTATGAAGAGGGATAAGTCGACGTGTTGGGTTAATTTCAAGTATGAAAGGCTGCATAACTTTGTTACTTCTGTGGTATGATGGGGCATCTACATAAGTATTGCCTAAAAGCGAGAGATGCAGGAATACCGATTGACCAGTATCCGTATGGTGAGGGCTTACGTGCGGGTTTTAAGAAGGGTCCGCGTAAGGTGGGTGCGTCATGGCTGCTAGACATGAACGGTAACCCTATGGCGGGGTCCCCTTTGGGCACTATGCCAAGTGTTCGGGTTGATGGGCAAGATGGTAGTACATCTGAGGCTACACGGGATTGTGAGGAGAATGGCGTAGTCACGGCTGCGACAAAGAGGAGAAGGGCCGAATTGAATGTGAATGATGAGGGCAGTGTGAAGACTGGAGGGGATGTTGTTATGACAGAGATCCAAAAAAACTTGTCTGCGGCGGGTACTGGTTCCCAGTCCCGCCCGTCATTATGAGTACCATCAGCTGGAGCTGTCGTGGCTTGGGCAATCCACGAACAGTTCGAGAGTTAACGGACCTAGCGTCCCGTAAGAAGCCTGATTTTATTTATCTTATGGAAACCATGGTGGAACGAATACATGCTGAAAGGATTCGTGTCACCCTTGATTTTGATGGTCTGTTTTATGTTGATCCGACTCCGCAGGGTGGTGGTGGCTTAGCACTACTGTGGCGTAAGAATGATACGGCAAGTCTTTTGAGTTACTCCAGAAACCATATCGATATTGAGGTGAATATGCCCAGTTTTCCGAAGTGGAGGATGACATGCTATTATGGGTATCCCCAGCGTCATAGGCGCACGGAAGCATGGGACTTGATAAAATCCTTCGCGTCGCGTTCCACCCTACCTTGGGTTATGATTGGGGATTTTAACGAGCTCTTGTTTCAATATGAGAAGAGAGGGGGCAATCCACATCCTAATAATCTCCTACGCGGATTTGGAGAGACTATTGATCAATGTGGCTTGACTCAATTGCCTATGGAGGGTTACCGGTTTACTTGGGAAAAGGGGAAAGGTACGCCTGCATGTATTGAAGAAAAGTTGGATAAGGTACTGGCATCTAATGTTTGGCGTGAGATTGTGCCTGGGGCCAGGGTCATTAATAATCTGATGAGGAAATCGGATCACTCTGCACTGTTTCTGAGTATCCATGAAGCGCTCCAGAGTGGGGGGCGAGGAAAGAGGGGTTTTCGGTTCGAAATGGCCTGGGTATATGATGATGGGTGCAGGAATGTGGTGGAAAAGTCATGGGAGGAAGGGATGCATGATGGGGTCCAGGACTGTATAGCACATTGTGGGAACCGGTTAACTAAGTGGGGTGGTGACCGGTATCATAAGTTTGGGGAGAAGATCATGCTCCTGCGGAAACATCAACTACATCTTAGGGGTCGCACTGACCCAACATCTTTAGCTGAATTCCAGCGACTGGAGGGAATTCTGAGTAATATGGAGGCCCAGGAGGATGTTTACTGGAGACAAAGAGCCAAGCAACACTGGCTTAAGAATGCTGATGCGAATACAAAATTCTACCACAGGTACGCCTCTCATCGTAAGAAGAAAAATACTATTTATAAACTTATGAATGATAATGGGGATTGGTTGGAAGGAAATGATATGAATACAATTATCTTGGATTATTTTACCCATATATTATCTTCTTGTGGACCTGTGGATGGTGACAATTTATTCTCTGAGATAACCCCCCTTGTAACCCAGACTCAGAATGAATCGTTGTTACGACCCTTTGAGCTAATTGATGTTAAGGAAGCTCTGTTTGCAATGGCCCCAGACAAAGCACCTGGTCCGGACGGTATGAACCCAGGTTTTTACCAACATTTTTGGGATATAGTTGGTAATGATATTTCGGCGTTTATTCTGAACTGCCTTAATAATCGGATTTTCCCCTCTAACCTGAACAATATGGATGTGGTACTCATCCCGAAGAAGAAAACCCCTGAAGTGGTAGCAGATTTTCGCCCGATAGCTTTGAGTAATGTGATCTACAGGATAATGGCGAAGATGATTACACAGAGAATGAAGCCTTTGATGGAAAATATAATATCTGGCTCACAG